TGCAAAGGGAGCTCCTATGGCCTGTGTGGACCAGTGCGGTCCTGCATCCTGTATCCTGTAAGGGAGCTCCTATGGCCTGTGTGGACCAGTGCGGTCCTGTGTCCTGTGTAGCTCGTATGGCCTGTGTGGACCCAGTGCAGTCCAGTAAGGGGAAGCCCTTATCGCCTGTGTGGACAAGTGCGGTCCTGTGTCCTGTAAGGGGGAGCTTCTATGGTCTGTGTAGAGCAGTGCGGTCCTGTGTCCTGTAAATTGGAGCTCCTATGGCCTGTGTGTGGACCAGTGCGTTCATGTGTCTTGTAAGGGGGAGCTCCTATGGCCTGTGTGGACCAGTGCGGTCCTGTGTCCTGTAAGGGGGAGCTCCTACGGCCTGTGTGGACCAGTGCGGTCTTGCATCCTGTATCCTGTAAGGGGGAGCTCCTATGGCCTGTGTGGCCAGTCCGGTCCTGCAAAGGGAGCACCTATGGTCTGTGTGGACCAGTGCGGTCCTGTGTCCTGTAAGGGGGAGCTCCTATGGTCTGTGTGGACCAGTACGGTCCTGTATCCTGTAAGGGGACCTCCTATGGCCTGTGATGACCAGTGCGGTCTTGCATCCTGTATCCTGTAAGGGGAGCTCCTATGGCCTGTGTGGCCAGTGCGGTCCTGCAAAGGGGAGCACCTATGGTCTGTGTGGACCAGTGCGGTCCTGTGTCCTGTAAGGGGGGAACTCCTATGGTCTGTGTTGACCAGTACGGTCCTGTATCCTGTAATTGGGGGAGCTCCTATGGCCTGTGTGTGGACCAGTGCGTTCATGTGTCTTGTAAGGGGGACCTCCTATGGCCTGTGTAGACCAGTGCGGTCCTGTGTCCTGTAAGGGGGACCTCCTACGGCCTGTGTGGACCAGTGCGGTCTTGCATCCTGTATCCTGTAAGGGGGAGCTCCTATGGCCTGTGTGGCCAGTCCGGTCCTGCAAAGGGAGCACCTATGGTCTGTGTGGACCAGTGCGGTCCTGTGTCCTGTAAGGGGGAGCTCCTATGGTCTGTGTGGACCAGTACGGTCCTGTATCCTGTAAGGGGGACCTCCTATGGCCTGTGAAGACCAGTGCGGTCTTGCATCCTGTATCCTGTAAGGGGGAGCTCCTATGGCCTGTGTGGCCAGTGCGGTCCTGCAAAGGGGAGCACCTATGGTCTGTGTGGACCAGTGCGGTCCTGTGTCCTGTAAGGGGAACTCCTATGGTCTGTGTTGACCAGTACGGTCCTGTATCCTGTAATGGGGGGAGCTCCTATGGGCTGTGTGGACCAGTGCGTTCCTGTGTCCAGTAAGGGGGAGCTCCTATGGCTTGTGTGGACCAGTGCGGTCCTGTATCCTGTAAGGGGAAGCTCCTATGATCCGTGTGGAGCCGTGCTGTCCTGTGTCCTGTAAGGGGGAGCTCCTATGGTCTGTGTGGACCAGTGCGGTCCTGTGTCCTGTAAGGGGGAGCTCCTATGGTCTGTGTGGACCAGTGCGGTCCTGTATCCTGTAAGGGGGAGCTCGTATGATCCGTGTGGAGCCGTGCGGTCCTGTATCCTGTAAGGGGGACCTCCTATGGCCTGTGAAGACCAGTGCGGTCTTGCATCCTGTATCCTGTAAGGGGGAGCTCCTATGGCCTGTGTGGCCAGTGCGGTCCTGCAAAGGGGAGCACCTATGGTCTGTGTGGACCAGTGCGGTCCTGTGTCCTGTAAGGGGGAACTCCTATGGTCTGTGTTGACCAGTACGGTCCTGTATCCTGTAATGGGGGGAGCTCCTATGGGCTGTGTGGACCAGTGCGTTCCTGTGTCCAGTAAGGGGGAGCTCCTATGGCTTGTGTGGACCAGTGCGGTCCTGTATCCTGTAAGGGGAAGCTCCTATGATCCGTGTGGAGCCGTGCTGTCCTGTGTCCTGTAAGGGGGAGCTCCTATGGTCTGTGTGGACCAGTGCGGTCCTGTGTCCTGTAAGGGGGAGCTCCTATGGTCTGTGTGGACCAGTGCGGTCCTGTATCCTGTAAGGGGGAGCTCGTATGATCCGTGTGGAGCCGTGTGGTCCCGTGCGGGGAGCCCTATGGCCTGTGTGGAGCCGTGCGGTCCTGTGTCCTGTAAGGGGGAGCTCCTATGGCCTCTGTGGACCAGTGCGTTCCTGTTTCGCTTGTAACGCTTTTGTATAACTGAACTGTACAATGATCTAACTAATATTTTGTGTATGTTATTTTGGGGTATTGTTAGGTTTGTGACCTCGTCGACGTGCCGAGACGGTGCCGAGCAGTAACTGATGCCAATGGAGGCCAAACAAAGTACTTGACGTCATCTTGTGGACTCAAGTAAACAGAAACACACGAATGAAAGCTGCTGCTGTTTTGGCGAACTCTTTGTCTATAGACTTGGAATTTACACGTTGTTACCATTGAAATTACATGAAATAATTGCTCTTAAACTAACACAATAAATTCTTCTAAAATGGTTAATGAGTTTCCTTTTTTGAAGAGTGTATTCCTAAAAGTGGCATAAAACTAAACTCACTCACTCGCTCCAAAACCACAAATGTCATTGTCCAAACCAGAGTACACTATTTGATAGTGATTCATAAACAGATGCTCTGGAACATTATCAAATGATCTGGTCGGAATTGTACAACCGACTCTGCCTGTCAGCAGTGAGTGAGCATGGTTTTACGCCGCTTTTAGCAATATTCCAGCAATATCACGGCGGGGGACACCAGAAATGGGCTTCACTCATTGTACCCATGTGGGGAATCGAAAACAATAGTCGTTGGATTGCAAAAGTGGTGAAGAAGTAAAAAGGCAAATTCAGGAAATACTAAATGGCTAATCTGGCACTTTGGGGGGTAAAGCTAAAAAGGATCATATAGCACATCTATCACTGTTTGCAGCTATATATATATATTGTATATCATTTGAACTATAAATTATTATCTTAGAGACTTGTGCAAGTCTATTTCCGACCGTAAAGTTTCCATATGCAAAATGAAAACATTACAAGAAAAGGACGGTTGGTGTTCGACAGAAGAGGTTTGTCATTTTTCACATGTACGAGTAAATACAAAGTCGAGCCGAAGCGGTAAGCTCAGCTGTCTGCAAGCTGAGACCTTGTCACTTTCGCAAATGTTAATATAACTGGATGTCAGTAACAGAGTACTGTACCTGGAACAATTCCTGGTCCCGAGGAACTCCTTAGGGATTCAAGATTCAGTTGATAATAAAGACATTCAACATTCAACGTTTGTCATTTTCCAAAGCGCTATAGGCGAACCAATAGTTGTCAGATATTCCAAAAGCCTAAATGAGATTATTATTACTATTATGCTAACATATGTATAGCGCCGATATCAAGCCCAGCTGCTCAAAGGCGCTTTGTTTTTCTCTCGATCACTGGATGTCAATCTCAATCTCTGGGGATCATAAATTTACAATTTACAATAGTCAGATATTCCACAAAGTTAAATGAGATGAGGCGTGCAGTACATGTCAGTGGGTAACAGTTGTTTGCAGGTAACCTATTCTGTTCTCTGGACTTTATAATGAAAACATGCCTTTGTGTGTTACAGGTATCTAATGTTGGTGATCGATGATTTGTTAAACGGAATCATCGGTGTCATATGTCGGCTAGTACAAAGAGGCTTCTTGGCGATTACCTTTCAAGATCAAAATCACCTTGGAAATGGCTTGTGTTTTTTCCAGGGGGCAACTGACGTGCCCTTGAATATATTTGAGACAAGTACCACCTTTCCGGAATGTAAGGTTGAACCTTTTCGCTTACACAAGTTGTCATACTTTTTTGATAGCTATTCAGAGCTTTATGCACATGACACAGTCGTACAACGAACTCTGTTTTTTTCCAGATATAATGTCTGGTTACGGGATGTATGTAGTAGTATTGTACTGAGTGCGTTGTCTTTAAATCCACGTACAACATGATATCAGTTATGTTCCGTTATCTCAGTGTAATGTCAGAGGAAAGCCAAAGGTGATACAGGTCTCATGTAGACCATTAATGACGTTGGCCCAGCATAATCATGGTGCTCTCAGAACTAGGTGAGGTGAAATTGGGTTTATTATCGTGCTTGAGAATATTTCGTTCATATGACATGCGTGTGTATGTGTATGTGCGGCTGCTTGTACTAGCCCAGACTGAAGCTGGTTTTATAGTGCTAGCCCACTGAGATACCATGCCGCAGTGAAGCATGAATACCCCACTCAGACACATTATACTGACCCCGAGCCGACCAGTCCTTGTTGTACCCATTAATGCCGAGCGCCAGGCAGGGACCAACAAGTACCATATTTTAACGTATTTTGGTATGACGCGGTCGGGGATCGAACCCGCGACGTTCCACTCTCCGGGCGGACGCTCTAACCACTACACCACGGAGGCGGTTCTCAGAACTAGGAACATAATCAGGGATCAGCACCCACGATCACAGGCTCCTGGCACATGTAGGGGAAGCAACTCTTCACAACTAATTGTGGTGCCTTAGAAGACTGGACTATCCGTTATCCCGGCACTGTGTGAAGACGGATGGTCAACCTGAAGATGAGACTTGGGATATAATAGGCTCCATCGCTATTTGTAGGACAACTGATGCATTATTTATGACGGTGACCCAATGAAGAGACTGAGTGACTGAGTGTGGATTTATACCGCGTTTAGCAATATTCCAGCAATATCACGGCGAGGCACACCAGAAATGGGCTTAACACATTGCACCCATGTGGGGAATCGAACCTGCGTCTTCGGAGTGACGAGTGAAAGCTTTAACCACTAGGCTACCCCAGCGCCCCCTAATGAAGAGAGGGGGCGGTGGGGTAGCCTAATGGTTAAAGCTTTGGCTCGTCACGCCGAAGACCCGGGTTCGAATCCCCACATGGGCACAATGTGTGAAGCCCATTTCTGGTGTCCCCCGCCGTGATGTTGCTGGAATATTGCTAAAAGCGGCGTAAAACCAAACTCAGTCAGTCAGTCAGCCTAATGAAGAGAATAACAACAACACATAAATAATTATATAACACCGTGTTTGACTAGCAGTCATAGATAATTATTTACAAAAATATTTTTTTATAAAAAATATCTTGATAATTTTGGGCAGAAATATTTCTTAACCAAAATACATATTTTCGGAAGACACATAATGGTAAACCATTCATCAGTTCATAAGCACGTCTTTGAAAGTAGACAACATTCCTTGAATCGATTTACAGGTTTGTTTATTTGTTGTCTAACGCCGCTCTCAGTTACATCCCAGCTTCATCCCGTCGATGTGAGAAATGCTTATTAATGCAGACTTGTTCTCGTCACTATATGGCTGGAATAATGCCGATGTGACGTAAAGCCCAACTCAACTCAACTATCGAATCTGGACTAGACAATCCGGACAATGACTTTATGAGCTTCAATCTTTACAACTGGAATTTGCATCAACCAAGTCAGCGAGCCCATTCACCCGGTCCCGCCAGTAACCTCTGCTGACAAGGATATCTTGTAGTCGATCGCATTGCCGGCAGAAAGTAGCAACATTCTACATCTTCTGGTGCCACTGGTGTTCAAAGGTACACTATCGCCTTTTCTATTTACATAATTTAGGATTTTCTAATTTAACCCATATGTCTTTTGCATACTTTGCTGAGACACCATTTCCAGCGAATTTCTTCCTCTTTGCAAAATCACAGACTCCCGGCCTTCCATAGGGATTGTATTCATTCCTGGGTATGGCTTTATGATTTGCCCCAACAACCTTTGCAAGGATCCCTGTGATGTGGGCATCCTCCATGTTCACATAGGGCATATATTCTGCAGCTTCCAGAATCTGCATGGCCGTATTGGTTGGCAGAATATAGATATTGCCTTTCACATGAGGTGGATAAACACGGAAGGGGTAGGCTTGTTGACTCACCCCGTATTTCCCTGATGCGTGACGGATTTCATTGGTAAAATATGGTCCGATGATCCTACTGTTCCAGTCCGTTGACTGTAAACGTTCTACCAACCATGGGATGTGGACAAACGAATCCTCGTCGTTTTTCATAATGAATTTGGTTCCGGGACAATGATTTTTTACCCACTGAAATCCACACAGAACTTTATAGGTAAGATTGAAATAACTTTCTTTAAAATTTGCCTGGACAATGTCATGATTCTCTGAAGCTTCCTTCAGTAAGTCTTTATTTTCTGAAACATTTCCAGTTTCACCGAAAATAAACACAAGTCTGACAACAAGTGATAAGGATGTCCCAGACCATGTGTTATTGTGTGTGAAGCTGCCCCAAGTCTCGCGTATCGAGTTCCTAAAATCTCTGTGTGGGATCATTGACAGGACAAGGATAATTAAATCCGTCTGACCATCAGCACACACGTCACTAGCTATTGTAAACTTAAAATCCAATGGAGTAACTTTGTGTTCCCGACGTTTGAAAAATGCTGGGTTATCGTTAGGATGATTCCAAGTTTGAACTTTTAATTGTGGTTTCGGTTTGGGGGATATACTCTGCACATTGTCCGATTGTTTTCTGTCATGGTCGGTTGTAACACTACTACCTGACGGTGTCACAGTTTGAGTCCAGATTGTAGTTGGAGGTGTGTTGCTATGTTCAGTGTCGTTGTCTGGTATGGTTCTTGTTCCGTGGTTGTAGACTCCGACTTGTATAAAGATATCTGGGTATTTGAAGGCCACCAGAAGAGCACCAGCTGATACGCCTATGAGCGCCAGAAAACAAGCTTTTAAGATCTTCATAGCAAGGCGGGGAAACATAGCAGGCTGTTTTGGTGTTTCTGAAATGCGAACATAATAAATACTAATATTTTGTGCATTTCACGAGAGATACTCCACAAATTAAAACTATCATTCTATAATACATTGACATTATAGGTATTTAGAGACGGATTGTCACAAATTTAGCATAGAGAGAAATTGGCCTAAACATTAACGTAAGAGCACTCACTATTCATCGTACATCGCAGAGCAACCTGTGTATGAACTCTCGTCCACAGACGCTATCATATCGGTAAATAGTGATGATTGCTAACTGATTTACTTCAGTATGTGGTTTATAATTTAGATGATTTATTCTGAAACAACGAAATTTATGAAATGTGAAATGTAATGTTGTGCCGTAACAAAGCTGGACCAATGAAATTGAACTGCCATTCTTGGATATACAATGTTATATACACCTGGAATTACAGGCACTGGTCGGATGTCAGGGTGTAAAGCCGTTGCCATAAAGCATGAAAAGTAATGTACTCTCTGAGAAAAGATGTATAAATGCAAGATTTCCCAATAAACAGTTCAATGTATGAACTGTTTGAAATGAAATTGTAAGCTAAAGGTGAGATCAATGAAATGCATCAGGTGTGAAATCGAACGCCGTGCTCGGAAAACAGCACCAGTGTGAAGTGTAAACAAAACAAATTACATAAATTTATCGTGTATCATTTTCTCATACTGGGAGAGGGGCGGTGGGGTAGCCTAGTGGTTAAAGCGTCGCTCGTTACGCCGAAGACCCGGGTTCGATTGCCTACATGGATACAATTTCTGAAGTCCATTTCTAGTGTTCCCCCGCCGTGATATCGCTGGAATATTGCTAAAACCTAAGTCACCTGTGAAGGTCCGGGTTAGAATGAAGCTTCAATAAACCATGCTTGTCGTAAGAGGCGACTAACGGGATCGGGTAGTCAGGCTCGCTGACTAGGTCGACACATGTCATCGGTTCCCAATTGCGCAGATCGATGCTCATGCTGTTGATCACTGGATTGTCTGATCCAGACTCGATTATTTACAGACTGCCGCCATAAAGCTGGAATATTGCTGAGTGCGGCGTAAAACTAAACTCACTAAAACCTAAGTCACTCAATGCACCCATTTCTGACTATTACAATGAAAAGATGAGAATATAACAAATTGTCAAAATGTTTCTGATTTAATTTCTCACATTTATGCACAAAAGCAATTCCTGAGTCCCCTTCCTAATATACCGTGCATGACCGCGAACACTCCGTTTTCTGAAAGTCGCATTCCTACAGTGTCATGCGAAGTTCAACACTGGTATGTTCATTGATTATAGGAAAAAAAGTCCTCGGCAAAAAGTCCTCGGTAAATAAGTACCGGAAGAAATGTCCTATTATTGTGAAAACAGATTAAATGGATGTTGACATCAAAGTTATTGTAGAGAAAACATAAAGTGATTGTGTATAAAAGACAAGGATTTAATACTGAGTTAACCAAGAACAATGATATTTTAACTGGGCAGATCTAATCTAGGATTTAGCTTGAGTTCTGTTTGTCAAAATGTGATTTTAGCTGCTTGAATCAAAGAATAAGTGTTCAGAAACAAGATTGTTTTAACAACCTGGCTTGTGGAGTACTGTTTGAGTTCTGTTTGTCAAATAAAATGTGACTCTAGCAGGTGATCCAAGATCCATTTTCATAGATTTCAGTAAAGCATTTGACATGGTTTGGCACAACGGCCTCCTACAAAAACTCCAAAAACATGCCATACACGGTCGAATCCTAAATTTCATTCACTCTTTCTTAAACGAAAGACAAATAACAATCAAATCCCACAACACCATATCGGATCCCTATCCTATAGAAAATGGAACCCCAAGGGGAGCATATTATCCCCAACTTTATTCAATTTTATGATTAATGATATATTTCCAGAAAAGGGCCTGAAATCTCAACTGCCAAATTTGCCAATGACATTTCATTTTGGACCGCTTCCACCTCAGTAAAACAGGCATCCATTAAAATTCAAAAAATGTTAAACTATATTCAAAATGGGCCCAAAATTGGGGGTTCCACATAAATGTTAAAAAAAACGTGGGCATATTATTCAAAACTCAACGAATGCAAAATTATACACCCAAACTACACTTAAATAACCAAGAAATTCAGTTAAAAAAAGAAGTCAAATTCCTAGGAGTAACTTTTGACTACCATATGACATGGACATCCCACATTCATAACTTGGTCAACTCATGTCAAAAAGATTTAAACTTAATGCGAGCCATCAGCGGCACAAACTGGGGTGCCGACGAACACAGTAAAACACACACTCATCAACATATATAAAACGCTCATACTGTCGAAAATGGATTATGCTGCTCCGGTCCTCCATAACCTCACCCCCAATAACCTTTAAAAATTAAATTCAGTTCAATTCAAGGCCCTCAAACTTGCCACGGGCACGAGGAGTGGTACCTCCCTCAATACACTTCTCCTCATCACAGGCACTTCTTCAATCACCCTTAGAATCAACCAAACCACACTCACTTACTGGGCTGGGGCCCAACACAACCCTATCTTCAAACTAATCACAAACAAATACAACAACACTAAGAAATCTACACTCAAAATGTTTAAATGCAACCCATCCAAAGCTCCATGCCTCACCCACCTCAACAGTCTGCTACATGCACAACAGCTAAACACTATACAACACACACCTCCTATTACAAGCTACATCCACGACAAACCACCACTAAATACAGACACCACCCTAGCCTCCGCTCTACAAAACTCTACCATACAACACTGATAATCACACCAAATTAGACATAATAGACAACCACATCAACACATACTACCCTTCCCACACCCACATCTACACAGATGCATCCATAAACATATTCAACAAAACAGGCATAGGCATCCATGTGCAGCAAACTCCCCCTTTAACAACAAACCTGCACTATACTAACCATACCACCATCAATACTGCAGAACTAACCGCAATCCTCACTGCACTGCACTTAATCCCCACTCTACAGCAAACAAACTTCGTCATACTCTCTGACTCGCTCAGTTCCATCAGACAATTACACAATCTGCACTCAAAATGACACCCGGATCTAATCCACAATATCACCATTCAAACCAATTCACGTAAACGCTTACATAAAAACATAACATTCCTATGGATACCCAGCCACACTAACATACCAGGAAATAACACTGCAGACACAGCTGCTAAGCTTGCCACCACACACAACTCACCTAGTATCAACTTCCACACATTCAAAACAGAAATCAAACAACTCATTAAATCAAACATAACCGAAACAAACTTCCAACACAACATAAACAGTGAGGCAGCTTGGCATGTATATAAAATTATTAGCACTCTTGTATGCAGATGATACTGTTTTGTTATCGGAAAGTGCTGAAGAATTACAATTAAGCTTAGATAATTTCTCAACATATTGTACATTGTGGAAACTTAAAGTTAACTTAGATAAAACCAAAATTGTAATCTTTTCAATGTAAAGAGCAAATATAGGTTTAAACTTTTTGATGAGGAAATTGAAGTTGTCCGAGAATATCTATACTTGGGAATTCTATTTAACGGCAATGGTAAGTTTGCTAAAGCAATTAAGAGACTTGCAGAACAAGCAACACGAGCGATGTTTTCTGTTTTCATAACTATTAGGGAACTTGAAATCACAATTGACTGTCAGCTGAAACATTTTGATCAATGCATTTTACCAATTTTATTATATGGGTCAGAAGTTTGGGGGTATGAAAATGCAGCTATTTTAGAAAGAACGCATCTGAAATTTTGTAAGTATATACTTAAGGTAAGACAATCTACTCCAAATTTTATGGTTCATGGGGAACTCGGTAGATATCCTATTGAAGTAATGATTAAAACAAGAATAATAGGTTACTGGTGTAAAGTCATTACATCAATACATAAGTTTCCTCATATAATGTATAATGTAATGGCTAATGTGTCAACTTGTTTGGGTATTCAATTTGATCTTTTAAATGTAGTGAAAAGTATAATTAAAAAGTTGGGTTATCTTATATATGGCAGTCCCAAAGGTTTCCTTCCGCATCCTGGCTGGAAAACTATGTTAAATACACACTTATAGATCAGTTTAAGCAATCATGGAATGTTGGTCTTCAAAACTCATCAAAAGGTAAATACTACTCCTTATATAAGCATACTCCCAACTTAGAACCTTATTTAAACAGTCTCCCATTGAAACAACGTATCTGGTTAACAAAACTGCGAACATGCAATCACAGATTACCGATTGAAACCGGCAGATGGTATAATATAGACACAGAAAATAGAATATGTACAATTTGTAACCAGCCTGTTATATGTGACGAATTTCATATTATATTATCAGAGCTCTAGATGGTGTAAGAAAAAGTATACTCCCTAGCTATTTTTGTAATAACCCAATATTGATAAATTTGTTTCCCTTATGAAACTGTCACGTTTAACGAAAATTGTATTATCCCTGTTTTAGTTATACATTTATATTATATTCATATGCATATAAGCCAAAATGGAACTTTGTATTTATCAAAATATATGTATGTTCTCGATATCATTTTGTATGATTTATGAGAATAAAATCCTGAGCGATGCTGGGAGGCGAGCGCTGGTAGTGAGCTCGCTGTGTTGAGTGGCCTTGACCTTGTCAGTGAGGGCTTGTTGTCTACATTAGCGAGAGGGGAGAGCTAGCGTGCCGTGAGCAGAGTATGGATAATTGAGTTTGAACGGCGGGTCTGAAAGTGTGGGCTTATTGGTTATACTTGGGACATAGAATGGATAACTGGGGGTTGAACGCCTGGACTAAATGTAACAGTAGGTTGAAGGTGAGAGAGGTGTATGTAGTTTATATGAGAGGTTCTAGATCCTTTGTAATAAGTTTGAGTTTTGAAGGTAAGATGCTATGGCGTTGAAAATGATGTGTGTGTGTGTGTGTGTGTGTGTGTGTGTGTGTGTGTGTGTGTGTGTTTTTGTGTGGATTTA